CAATGTGCACGTGCGCAAGGTCCCAAGCTCTCACTTAGCGCCAGCAGATAGGTACAGTGCATTGTGGGGGATTGTAGCCTTTCTTGGGGAATCATATGCTGATTTTTGGGCCTGTTCCAAGATAGCCGACATATTGGCCCGAGGGCAGAAAGACAGCATGTAAGTTGTTCAACGAGTGCTAGCTAGTAAAGCATCCACCGGCGGAGTAAAAAGCATAGCGTGCGATTCTCATTCTATGCCCTTGAAAGCAGGTAAAAACAGAAGAGGCTCGCTCTCTGAGCGTCCTCCGAAGCCAGCACCGCTTTACAAGTCATTCTCGACTCCAGTTGGGGCCTACGGGCGAGTGGCTGATCATGCACGAAAGGCCATGTTTTGTAGGGGCCCACAGAAGTGCATTGCAGAGAAGCGCATCGAAGCAAAGTTGCGGCTAGCTGGTGCTCCTTGAAAGCATGTTGTGCTGGGTTTGGAGGGGAAGAGAGTTGTGGAAGAAGATCAGCGTTGCAAACTCTTCTACTCTCTGCTGCGCTTCTGCACGAGAAACACCCGCTGATATCATGGAGTGAGGTCAGGTCAACGTCTTGCATTTTTTCTTGCAAGATGCTGACCCCAGTACTGCTGTCAAGTATTTCAATGACTGCGCGCTGCCATGCGAAACTAAAGGGTTCTTCTTTGTGCAACTAGATAGATATGGTGCAATGTTTTGGATTGTAGATGTGGTCGCCTTGCCTGAGATTCCTGTCATGTTTTTTTGTTTCGTCCCGAGATGCAGATACAGCATCTGAAGGGCAGAACGACCGCTTGTTGATACTTCATCGAGTGCTTAGAGGTTCCACAGGTTCCGGGAATTGTGTAGAGTGCCTTTCGAAGCCTTCGAAAACAGGAGAGACCAAAGGAGGTGTGTTCTAGCCTACAAGCACATGCCTATCCACAAGCAGGATCATGTACGAAAGGCCATATTTTGCAGAGGCCGACTTCGCTTTGAAGATGCTGATGGAAGTGCATTGCGGAGAAGTGCGTTGTAACCAGGCTGCATCTGGCTAGTGCTTCTTGAAAGCATTCTGTGTTGGGTGGCGAGGGCAAAAGATCTGTGGCAGAAAATCAGCGTTGCCAACTCTTCTGTACCCTGCTCTTGCCCAAGCAAAGACCCCTTTGCTATCATTTTGTAGTCTGAGCTTTACGTGTTTGGCAGAAGAACCTATTATATTGCCTGCCTGAGTCAGATGTTTCCCCAATACATGAATGGGCGGTTCATAAAATAAGGGTTGAGGGAAGGTCTTGCATCCTCAATGTAGACCCTAGCTTCCAGCTTCTGAATTTTGAAGGGTCCAGCCATTGCAGAGAGTTGATAATCCTTGACAGGAAGGTGCTGGGAACAAAAACGTTTTCATTTTTGGATTGTCGATTTGCACAGAAGATGCATTTCAACCGTTTCTCACATGTCCAAATGATTACGTTTTAAAAGTGATGCGCACCTGCCGTTGGTTTTTGCATCAAATGGAGTGTCCAATTTTTGTCAACCCCTGTGACGAGAACAGCCGCTCTGTGACAAGACATTGGTGGATATGACTGGAGTGCTAAAGCACTTGCGGGTCAACGTCTTGCGTTTTTCTTGCAAGATGCTGACCCCAGTACTGCTGTCAAATATTTCAATGATTGCGCGCTGCCATGCGAAACTAAAGGGTTCTTCTTTGTGCAACTAGATAGATATGGTGCAATGTTTTGGATTGTAGATGTTGTCGCCTTGCCTGAGATTCCTGTCATGTTTTTTTGTTTCGTCCCGAGATGCAGATACAGCATCTGAAGGGCAGAACGACCGCTTGTTGATACTTCATCAAGAGCTTAGAGGTTCCACAGGTTCCAGGAATTGTGTAGAGTGCCTTTCGAAGCCTTCGAAAACAGGAGAGATCAAAGGAGGTGTGTTCTAGCCTACAAGCACATGCCTATCCACAAGCAGGATCATGTACGAAAGGCCATATTTTGCAGAGGCCGACTTCGCTTTGAAGATGCTGATGGAAGTGCATTGCGGAGAAGTGCGTTGTAACCAGGCTGCATCTGGCTAGTGCTTCTTGAAAGCATTCTGTGTTGGGTGGCGAGGGCAAAAGATCTGTGGCAGAAAATCAGCGTTGCCAACTCCTCTGTACCCTGCTCTTGCCCAGGCAAAGACACCTTTGCTATCATTTTGTAGTCTAAGCTTTACGTGTTTGGCAGAAGAACCTATTATATTGCCTGCCTGAGTCAGATGTTTCCCCAATACATGAATGGGCGGTTCATAAAATAAGGGTTGAGGGAAGGTCTTGCATCCTCAATGTAGACCCTAGCTTTCAGCTTCTGAATTTTGAAGGGTCCAGCCATTGCAGAGAGTTGATAATCCTTGACAGGAAGGTGCTGGGAACAAAAACCTTTTCATTTTTGGATTGTCGATTTGCACAGAAGATGCATTTTAACCGTTTCTCACACGCTCAAATGATTGCGTTTTAAAAGTGATGCGCACCTGCCGTTGGTTTGTGCATCAAATGGAGTGTCCAATTTGTTCAACCCCTGTGACGAGAACAGCCGCTCTGTGAAATGACATGGGTGGATATGAGTGGAGTGCTAAAGCACTTGCGCTGATGTGCACACACAGACACATGCATTGTGCATGCATGTCGGAGTTAGGAGCCTTGAGACATCTCGAGGCTGAAGCTGACCAGTGCCCAAAAGCGCGCGTGTAGTTAGCTTCAGGGCGTTCTGTTGGATTGTTGCTCTTCTTGATAGTTCCCATACCGTCGTTGAAAGATGGTCAGAAAGGCTGCGCATAAGTTCTTCAACAAGTTCTAGTTCTAGGTACGAAAGCTTTCACAGCTCAAGTAGCATGCACAGAGTGCACTTCGATACCCGTAAGAGCAAACGAGAGGAAAGGAGATGTGATCTTTGAGCGTCTGCCGGCAGCAGCAATGGAGGCGTGTTGTCTTAGCGTCTTTCGACACCAGCAAGCTTTGGCGAGGCACACTGAACTTTGAACGGCACCTAAATGCGACTGCCAAATCACATGCAGCATCATGCACAAAAGGTTATGTCTTGCAGGTGCCCACTTGCATTGGAGAGAAGGGCATCGTAACTGCTACTGCTGGTCCTTGAAAACAGTCTGTGCTGGGCTCAGAAGGCAAGAGAGCTGTGGGGAACGCTCAGCGTTGCAAACTCCTCTACGCTCTGCTGCACTCCTGCACGAGAAACTCCCTTTGGTGTCAGTCTTCCTATCTTCTACCGAAACCCGAAGAAAAACAACTCGCAGTGAATTGGCTACATGTCCGCAGCCACACATATATAATATATATTGCTGATTCGTAAAATCAGTATTCACGTACGGTCTTGCACTGTTCATGCAAAGTTTGGCTTTCAGTCAATGTTGGTTGAAGATTTAGCCCAGTTTGCCGAATTAATGGTCTTTGAGAGGCAAGTGCAGGCAGCAATACACTTCTGGTCCTTCCCAGAGGGCAGCACGTGCCACAAAAACATGTTCGAATTGTTTGGCAGACATCCCTGACTCATGATGATGGCTAGGGCAAGTGAAACAGGTGAGGGCTGTGCGACAAGACACCAGTTAGCATGAAGATGGGCCTGAAGCCAGCCACTGATCAATGTACACATGTGGATTGACACTCACCCGTGTGGGTGGAGACTAAATGACTAAAGGCTATCGAGGCTCGCAAGCAGTCGGTTAGCGCGAGGAGATAGGTACAGTGCGTTCTTTGGGAGCGTAGCCTTTCTTGAAGACTTTTGTCCTTATTTTCTCCATCATTCCAAGATGGCGGATAGATCAACCCAAGGACGCAAAGAGAGCATGTTCATTCTTCAACAAGTGATGGCTCGTAGAGCTTCCACAAGTTCTGAAAAAGTACAGACTGTCCCTTTATACGCTTGAAGCGGGCGAGGGCAATGGAGGCGTGTTGCCTTAGCGTCTTTCGACACCAGCAAGCTCTGGCGAGGCACACTGAACTTTGAACGGCACCTAAATGCGACTGCCAAATCACATGCAGCATCATGCACAAAAGGTCATGCCTTGCAGATGCCCACTTGCATTGGAGAGAAGGGCATCGCAACTGCTACTGCTGGTCCTTGAAAACAGTCTGTGCTGGGCTCAGAAGGCAAGAGAGCTGTGGCGAACACTCAGTGTTGCAAACTCCTCTACGCTCTGCTGCACTCCTGCACGAGAAACTCCCTTTGGTGTCAGTCTTCCTATCTTCTCCCGAAACTGCCGAAGAAAAACAACTCGCAGTGAATTGGCTACATGTCCGCAGCCACACATATATAATATATATTGTTGATTCGTAAAATGAGTATTCAGGCACGGTCTTGCACTGTTCATGCATGTTAGCTGACAATTCTTGTCGGCTCAAACAGGCATCGGCTTTTAGAGCGACAGATTTTGCGTTCGTTGATATTGAGGCAATGGCGGCCATGGTGTGAATCCAAATTCCTTTTTTCACATCGCGTACCAAGAAATACCGAGAAATACTCCAACACATTCACAGTGACGTGGCTCACATTTGCAAAACCAGCGCACCTGTCTACAAAACGCACGCAAATTTTCCCGAAAACTGAAGTTTGGACCTTACAACATCATGGGAGATGCAAACAATTGTACTCGCAAAGGATGTATCAAGGGTTGACAGCTAACACCTCACAAGATCTCACAAGACTGCTTGGGTTTCAATCTATAACTTATAAACCACTGGCTCTACCAAGTTTTATAATGTTTCTTATTCAAGCGAAGATTGCATGACAAGCTAATAGTAACCACGCAGGACATGCAGCACATGACCCTGCCTGAGATTCTTGGCGATTTCGGTGGGGCACCCACTTGGAAGCTTCAGAATATATGCGCCAAAGCACCGCTTTTCTTTATCATTCGGTCACGACGTCATGTGGCGCATGTCCTTGCAGTCCGGAAGCATCCTTGTTTGCTTTGGCCCCTGGTCATGCCGAGAGAACGGCAATGAGCAGCTGGATTCTTGTCCCAGGTCCTTTCAAGACAATGAAGTTTGATTAGGATTTTTGATGGCTCGCATTCAAGAATCTGCGAGCGACACGGATTTTTTTCAAAGCTCCCCCCGAAAACCCAAGGACGTCTCTTGACAGCGCCTGTGACATTTTAAGTTTCTGTCTTCCCCACTGCAGATTGTGGACACATTCGACAGGTTGCTTCTGCCAGCAGGGTTTGAAGCAGTGCTCACGTTGTCCTGTGAAAAACAACACCGGCCTACCAGCTCTATCGATTTTGGTCCGGTTGTGACAGGTTGTTGGAGATTTCGCGCTTTTGCATTGCGAGGGAAAAAAAAGGCATGAACAGTTCTTACTTCTATGATCTTGGTGCTGAGAAAGTGTGGTTCTGCATTCTCAGGCGTTCTCAGCATACTTTCCTTCCCCGGCGTGATCATTCACCTTGCAGCGAAAAACCGCGCTCTTTGACCGGCGCAGCGAAGAGACAGGAAGCGCACGATGCGGCACTTGCGCTGTCCGCTGTGAGGCTCTCAGGCTGTGCCAAGACCGGCCGGTGGGACCCCGTGGGACCCCGTGTGACCTCGACGTTCTGAGATGGGCCGAGATGGGTCGAGACGGGCGCCGTGGTCAAGTGGCTGATGCCGGGCCAATTCACACGCGGTTCTGGTCCCTTGCCAAGACTGCAATTCTTGAGGTGAGCCAAAGATGCCAGTTTGAATCTTGAAACGATGACAGTTGTGTATCAGCCGTCGGGTGCGGTGCACTTGTCAGGTGACTCTGTATGACCAACGAGATTGCTTTGAAGCAAGCAAGCGGAGACTGGGATATCTCGCAGGCAATTGCAAGTGAGTTGAAAAGGCCGTGGAATCGAAAGGGGCGGATGTGGCGATCTTTGGGACTGGTAAAGGGCTCATCCCTTCCAAGTTGGTGCAACTTGTGGAGTTGTGATATATTTTTGTTTCTGCCGGTTGGAAAGGTTCTGGTTAGTGACTTGGGCTGCCAAAAATTTCGGACTCAGCATGTTGCAATATCTCGTTTGCAATTCTTTTTCGCAAAGAAGTTTCGATGTGAGACCTGGATTGTTTGGGGCCGAAGAAGTTGGAATCTGCAATTTCACCAGTAGATGCTGCAGAGACTTTCAGGACCAGCAATCTGTGGTTATCATTTCTTGCAGTTTGCCAGTGCGTCCTAGGTTTATTCTTAGAAGGTTCAAGTTCAAGGAAGCTTGTTGAAATGGGTCCAAATTCTCCCCCACCACAACCAAGACGTTTTGTCTTATAGTGGACAAGTGCCCTCTGTTTGTTTGTTTCATCCACTTCACGACAAACCTTGGAGCTTTGCCAACACCGTGGGGCTAGAGCTTTGTGCCACCGCATGTGCAATGGCGTTGCCAGCAGGCGTCAGAAGGCAAACGGCGGCATGGTATTTTGATGTGTTTCTTGCAAGTACGTAGAAAGCCAGCCTTTTTTGAATAGAAAAGCCGTCTATACATGGTCATTTTCCATAGCAATGTTCATTTGCTGCAGGGTAAACCCTGTTTTCAGGTCTGAAAAAAGATCGGCGTGGCACCGGACCGATTCGGTTTGGTTCGGTTCATATATTTCCGGTTCACCAACCGCAACTGCAACCGGAACCACAACCACAAGCACAGCAACAACCACAAACCAACAAGAACAGCAAGAGCAGCAAGAACAACAAGAACAACAAGAACCACAAGAAACACGCACGATAACCACAACCACAGCAGCAAAGGATCGCAAGAACAACAAGAAGACCACAATTGTTTGTGTTATTTTGGTGGTGAAATGCTGTAAATATCGCGCCAAACGACAGGTTGAAGTTCCAAAATGCAAAATCCAACGTCCATGTTCCAAAATATCGCAAATACCGCGCAAAACGAGAAACCAAATGTCAAAAACAGTGGAAACACCTCGCCAAATGAAAGATGGAACATCCAATGCGTTGCAAGTAGCAAGGAAAAACAGGGAGAAGAGGAAACCCAAAGAGTCTCCCAAACTGCAAAGAGTTCCTGAAACATTTTGTAAGGTAATGCAAATGTGATGTGATGTGATGTGACGTGATGTGATGTGATGTATGTGTTGCAATGTGTATATGTGTGCAAGTAGATGCAAGTAGATGCAAGTAGATGCAAGTAGATATGAAGAAAAGAGTCAAGTCACTGACAGCGATTGGACAAATACACGACAGAATGAGTCTCTGAGGATATTCTTCTTTGAGGTATATATCTCTGCTCTCAAGCAACTCACCACCTCTCAGCCACCTCTTCTTTTTGGCAACATTCATCTCTGAGTTATTTCTTCGGTGAGTTGAGATACCTGATCTCCGCTCCTTCTTCTCAGAGCCCTTCTGTGAGCCAATTCTTCTCCCAGCACAGCATGTCTACACTGTCTACACTCCCCGCGCAGTTGTGCAATGCGTTGAGCCACACATGGTCGGAATCCCGCAGGGCTTGTCCCCACATCCACAACAATCTCTCGAGCAGCCGTGTTGCACCATAGTGAACAAGATGCAGCCCACGAACCCGAATGCTCACACGTATGTCAATGGGTACAGATGTCGAAACACATGGAAATGCAGTCATGCAGAACACTTTTCTGAAACAGTTTATTTGAACAGTCTTGTACATATTTCCCCTGTTACCATACCAGCGCACTGTAGACTGTGGAATATGGAAGAAGGTGGCGTGCTAAGTGTGGAGTATAGAGTGTAAAGTGTAGAGTGTAAAGTGTGGAGTGTCAAGTGTAAAGTGTAAAGTGTGGAGTGTGGGGTGTAGAGTGTAGAGTGTTGAGTGTAAAGTGTGGGGTGTAAGGTGTGGAGTGTAAAGTGTGGAATGTAAAGTGCGGAGTGTAAACTGTAAAGTGTGGAGTGTAAAGTGTAGAGTGTGGAGTGTAGAGTGTGGAGTGTAAAGTGTGGAGTGTGGAGTGTAAAGTGTGGAGTGAGGAGTGTAAAGTGTAAAGTGTGGAGTGTAAAGTGTAAAGTGTGGAAAGTGTGGAGTGTAAAGTGTCAAGTGTAAAGTGTAGAGTGTAAAGTGTAGAGTGTGGAGTGTGGAGTGCAAAGTGTAGAGTGTGGAGTGTGGAGTGTGGAGTGGAAAATGTAGAGTGTGGAGTGCGGAGTGTAAAGTTTAAAGTGTGGAGTGTAAAGTGTGGAGTGTAGAGTGTGGAGTGTAAAGTGTGGACTGTGGAGTGTAAAGTGTGGAGTGAGGAGTGTAAAGTGTAAAGTGTGGAGTGTAAAGTGTGGAGTGTAGAGTGTCAAGTGTCAAGTGTCAAGTGTAAGTGTAGAGTGTAAAGTGTAGAGTGTGGAGTGTAAAGTGTAGAATGTGGAGTGGGTAGTGGAAAGTGTAGAGTGTGGAGTGTGGAGTGTGGAGCGTGGAGTGTAAAGTAAGGAGTGTAGAGTATGAAGTGCGGAGTGTGGGGTGTAAAGTGTGGAGTGTGTAAAGTGTAGAGTGTGGTGGAGTGTAGAGTGTGGTGGAGTGTGGAGTGTGTAGTGTGGAGTGTGGAGTGTGGGGTGTAAAGTAAGGAGTGTGGATTGTAAAGTGTGGAGTGTGGAGTGTGGAGTGCGCAGCGGGTAAAGTGTAGAGTGTGGAGTGTGGAGTGTAGAGTGTGGAGTGTGGAGTGTAAAGTGTGGAGTGTAGTAGAGTGTGAAGTGTGGAGAGTAAAGTGTAGAGTGTGTAAAGTGTAGAGCGTGGAGTGTAGAGTGTGGAGTGTGCAGTGTAAAGTGCAGAGGGTGGAGCGCAGTGTAAAGTGTAGAGTGTAAAGTGTCTAGTGTGGAGTGTGAAGAGTGGAGTGTAGAGTGTCCAGCGTGGAGTGTAAAGTGTAGAGTGTAAAGTGTAGAGTGTAAAGTGTAGAGTGTAAAGTGTGGAATGTAAAGTCTGGAGTGTAAAGTGTGGAGTCTAAAGTGTAGAGTGCGGAGTGAGGAGTGTAAAGTCTAAAGTGTGGAGTGTGGAGTGTAAAGTGTGGAGTGTAAAGTGTAAAGTGTCGAGTGTGGAGAGTAAAGTGTAGAGTGTGTAGTGCGGAGTGTCAAGTGTGGAGTGTAAAGTGTAAAGTGTGGAGTGTGGAGTGTAGACTGTGAAGTGCGGAATGTAAAGTGTGGAGTCTAAAGTGTAGAGTGTGGAGTGTAAAGCGTGGAGTGTAGAGTGTGAAGTGTAGAGTGCAAAGTGTGGAGGGTATAGTGTAAAGTGTGGAGTGTAAAGTGTAGAGTGTGGGGTCTAAAGTGTGGAGTGTAAAGTGTAAAGTGGGGAGTGGGGAGTGCCGTGCGCAGAGTGTGGAGTGTAGAGTGTGGAGTGTAAGTGTCAAGTGTAAAGTGTGGAGTGCAAATTGTAATATGTGGAGTGTAAAGTCTGGAGTGTAAAGCGTGGAGTGTAAAGTGTTGAGTGTAAAGTGTAGGGCGTAAGTGTTGAGTGTAAAGGGTGGAGTGTGGAGTGTGGAGCACGCAATGCGACACGTCTGGAGTGCTGCGCGTGCCACGCAAAATGACGACAGAGATCTCCAAAATGCTGCGCCTGCCACGAAAACTGCAACTCATCTTGTGAAAACGACGCAAAAGTACTGCGCTTGCCACATAAAAACGACCTTCGACACGTTGTCAAACAGGTTGGAATGTCACAAAGTGCCGCGCCTGCCACGCAAAAGGCTGCTTGGAAACCTTTGAAAAGGAGAGGTTTTGCAGCTTCCCCCATAGACACGGCGAGACGAGACACATGGGAGCATCGTGCGAGATTTCCTCACTTTGTAGCTTCAAAATCGACGTTTTCCTACGAGTTTTCTTAGGAACCTCTAAATTTGCTACCTCAAAATCGATGTTTCGTGCTGCCACGGAATTTGCACCTTGTCGCCACTTGACGCAGCCCTGACAATGCGATTCGCAAAAAACACGCAACACGACACGTCTGAAGTGCTGCGCCTGCCACGCAAAATGACGCTGGACACGTCCAAAGTGCTGCGCCTGCCACGAAAACTGCAACTTATCTTGCGAAAACGTCGCAAAAGTATTGCGCCTGCCACACAAAACGATTTTCGACACGTTACAAAACACGTCTGAATGTCACAAAGTGCCACGCCTGCCACGCGAAACGAAGCAACGCGACGTTTGAAACCTCCAAAATGACCCCTTCTGCAGAACTTACCACAGGCACGGCCATGCGGCCCTCACGCAAACGGTTGCGAACGGTTGCGAACGGCTGCGAGCGGTTACGCAACGTCGAGCGAACAAAACACCTTCAACCCCAGGCCCCCAGAATGAAACGGGAACCCTTGCTACGCATTCGGGAAAAAAACGTGAAACACATCCTTTGCACAGCCAATTCAATCCATGTAGCGATGTAGTCATCTTCAGTGGAATTCCGGCCACAGAGGTTGCGCCATATCTTGAACCATCTTCCGTGTCTTTCGCGCAGCGATTGCAATGCAGCACCCATTGCAGTCCCGCATAGGGCGGTCGCACCAACGAATCGACGCGTTCCGCTGCTGCTTTCCTGGACAATGCCCCACACCCGCGGAACACACGGACCCTCAGTTAGCAACCCCGGGAACCACAAAACCTGCAACAGCGATTCTTCAATCGCACTTGATTGCTTTCACCCACCCACTGCAGCCACATTTAATGAATCTACCGACAATTTATGAGTGATGTTCGTATAGTTGAGTGCTCGAGTTTGTGGAAAAAAAATCCCGTGACATTTGTGCGAACGCAGAAATTTCTCAATTCCCCACCTGCCAGGTGAGGGTTGTTAGATTTTATCAGAGTTGTTGTCCTCCTATTCCTCGCCCTCCTCCTCCTCCTCCTCCCTCTCCTCCTCCTCGCCTCTCCTCCTCCTCGCCTCCTCCTCCTCCAGTT